GATCTGGAAGAATGAAGCTTGCATGTGTTATAGCCACATATTCCGGGAAACTAACTCACTCAGAAAGACAATGCAGATAGTGGAGTGCAGTTTATTACACCGGTGGGCCCAAGGCAGAGTCTCCTCTTAGCCAAGGACCCCGAGCAGCGTTTGTGAAAATCTTTTATACCCCATGTGTATGTGTCCAAACCCACCACCCCAAATTCCTTGAGACTTACATAAACAAAGGAAGGGTAAATACAACTACAATAACCCCATCATTCATGTGTTATGTGTTCAAACAGTTAATGATCAATAAGCCCGCAGTTACATACCAACCAGTTAATAATTGATAAGCCTGTGATTACATTCTGATAGATATGGAAAAAATTTATGACCTGTCCGGAGGCAGGGGTGATTAGGGTATGTTTCCTCTTAGGCTATGAGTAACCTGGATGTGATCTTCAAGATTCCCCTACCCAGAGGGGGTCTTATCCTTCCATTGTCATTCCCATAGGCACTAAGCACAGAGTTCAGAGTCCACTGGAGAGGTGGCCACGCAGGACCTGCATGGACAGGCCTGAGATGGAGTCCAGACCCTATGAATTCCTTCTTCACATGCACTTATGTCCAAAGTGGGGCTAGGGCCTCCTGTGTCCTCTGTGAGAGGGAGGGGATCAGGTAGCAGGCATGGATTGAGTGTGTTTCTTGCCAGGCCCTTTCATGAGCCCATCACATGCTATTATTAATTTAACTGAATAAATCAGGTATTAAGTTTCCTCATCCTGCACAGATGAGGAACTGAGGCTCTGATGACTAACTTGCCCAGGATCATTCAGTTATGAAGTGTCTCCTCCAGGCCCCACAGCCTCCTTGTCACTCTGAGTATCCATCTCCCTTCCTCCTTCTCTGTCCTTCTGGCACCTTCTCCTCCTTCCTCTGTCCTGACCTTGACCTTCCCGGCTCCCTGTCTTCCAGTCCATACGCCTGGCTGCTGGGCAGCCACACCCAGGCTGTGCTCTGACGGGGGCACCACGTCCAGGCTCACAGATTAGAGTGGAGGAGGGACTGCTGGGAGACTCCAGCAAACCTCCTGCTTTCCAGGTGGGGGAACTGAGGCCCAGAGAGGGCACAGGCCTGACCCAGGGTCACACAGCTGGAACCCCCATTCCTCTCCCACTCCTAGTCCTCTGTCTAGGACTCCAAAATTATCTTTTACCCTAAAGTGGAAATCCCAGTGGCAGTTCAGGGAGTTAAGTTGGTAACAAACTGGGGTACAGAGCATTAACATCCCAGGATAACTTATATCTGGTGCTCCTCCCTCACACCTTGTGTGCCCACTGGGAGGCCAGCAGGTTCCAGGGCTCCACTGACAATTGGCTTTGTGAGTCTAGGGAGGTTCTCAGGTTTGCTCTGTGTCTCTCTTTCCAGCCTCAGCTTCTCCCAGGGTTTATTATTAGCAAAGGTGAAAGGCCCCTGATGGCAGGACGCTGGCTGGTGATCAGGGTGCTGGCCCTTCAGCCCTGGGCGCCTCTCAGCAAATAGTCCCTTGGAAACAGGGCAGCTGTCCCAGGAGGGGGCGGGCTGGGAGGGGCCTCACTGCCCCCACACTGGACCCTGGAGGAGCCCCTGTGTGAGCGGGACTGCAGCCCTGGCTGGCAGGACTGTCTTGGGCAGGTGACCTGGGCAATTCCATGGTCTCCAGGGTCCCTGCCACTCTGGCCACGTGTCCCTGTCACAGCCCTGAAACCCCTTCAGGCCCCTGTTCTCCTGTCTCAGTTCCAGTCCAGGCCCCTCCTCCATGGGGAAGGTTGGCTCCACGCCTGCATCTCTTCTGGATCAGAAGACACCTACTGGGCTGCCTCAGGGCATGGCCATTGGGACCTTGGATAACACCCCCCCCTGCCGCCCCCCCCCCCCCCCAGTTATCTCCACTCTGCCACTCCCAGCCCCACTTCTGTCCCAGGTGCATTCTCAGAGCTGTCTCCTCCCAGGGGTCCAGCAGGTGTCTCCTCTTTCAGCTTCTGCCCTTAAAATGGTCCAATCATCCATCCATCCCCACCCCCTCCCTGGGATGTCCTGAAAGGCTCCACGAAAGCATCAGACACAGCATCCTTGTTCATTTACAATCCCATCTTCCCAGCTTGGAACCTGCTAATCAGTCTCCCACGTCAGAAAAATCCTGCTCATGTAGGACTACTCCTAGATCTTTCCAAACTCGCATCTGGAAGGCTCCTTTGAAGCTGAAAAGCCAAACATTATGTTTATTCATTCTGTGATTCCTCCATGACTGTCCTCCTTGGAGTCATGCTGGGTTGGGGTCTCCTTTCCCAAATGATGAAGAATCAAATGTTAAGGCAAAATTGAAGGAAGGGGATTCAGAATAGTTGCTACTATTACCAACAGATGTGGGGTCTGTTTGTTCACTGCCCAAAAGTCAGTAAGCAGGCCAGGTTGGTGGAAAGGAAAATTTACTTCATTTCAGGTGGTGGCAATTTGGCGGGAGGGTGGATGTCTATCCCAAGCCTGATTCCCTGCCCCACCTTATCTACTGTACATCCCTGCCAAGCAGGAGGTGAGAGCATTTACAGGCTGAGGGAGGGGGCTACATGCAGAAACAGCACAGTCAGCTCTGACAGTCATCTTCAAATTGGTCATCGGTGGTTTGACTAGCATCACCTTGATTATTTTAAGTACAGCTAATCTTCAGTTCTAGGGTTGGTTTGTTTGAGGCCAGTTCTCAAAACTGGTGGCTTATGTCATGGCTACAGTCTGATCATCATGTAGTTGACTTCTTCCACCTGGTGGGGGTTCCAGTATCTATAAGACAGCTCACAGAATATGGCTCAGAATATTATCTATAGCCCTCAAGGAGGAACTAAAGATCGTTGACTACGTTTAATGAGTTCATTAGTAGTAGTAGTAGTATTTGGTCTCCGTTGTCTGTTTTCCTTTGTTTCTGCATGTTCTCTTTTCTCCGATTAAACTTTCTTTAACTAAAGTTTTCCATAGACAGAGGTCACAGAGGGAAGGACCTTAGAGTCCTGCTCTGTTTCACTACTTCCCATGGCATCCTGTCCCCACGGCCTTGCTCTCACCCATGGCTCCTCCCTGCTCACCCCTGAGGCTGCCCTCCTCCAGGTGGGGCTGTGTCCCCTCAGATGGCAGCTCCTTCTAGTGATGCTGCAGGGAGGAGAGGTTGGCACACGTGTGCCTTCAGGTTGCTGTGGAAGGAGGCCATGGCCCTACAGCTGTGTCCTGGGTCCCAGAGCCCCGAGGTTTGGTCCTGGGCTCCCACCCCTGGGCCTTGTTGATATATGGGCTATACAGCAAAGCATTCAAATCCACACATTTGGCATTTTTATCTGGGGCTCCCACATCCTGTTCACGTCACCTTAGGGAAAGCACTTAATTCTCTGAGCCTTAGTTTTGTCATGTGTAAAATGGGGTTAGCAGTACAATCCTCAATCCCATTTCTGAAACTCTTGGGTTCAGATATAATTCAAAATTTAGTTTTTTCAGCTTCAGGTATGTGACATGGTATATCTTCTCTATACAACAAGACACCCCACTGGGGTCTGAAAGGACCTTGTAATCAAACACATTAGTGCTTCTGCAGCTGAACTTTTGAACATTCACATTAAGTTAAATAAATAGAGATCACAAATTATCTCATGTCTGTTTAGGTTAAATTTTGTTACCAAAAATTTTTTAAAATTTTGTTTTCAATTTTGACAGACCTGAAGTGTCGGGGTTAGAGATAAGGGCCATCCTATCCTGTATCTCCATAGATAATGGCCCACAGCTCAGAGAGATCCAGGATGTTCTTGGTTTGAGGCCAGACCCAACGCAGCTGTGAGGTTTGGGATAAGACAAGTCTCCTGACAAGGCCAAGGGTGATGGGTGGGGAGAACCATTCTGGAGCGGCTGTGCTGTTACCTGAGTGTCTGGGTCACTGGTTCTAACTCCACGGATCCTGAGCTTCAGCTGTAACAGGGCCCTGAGCCTTTTCCAGGTGTCTGGCTTAATCCACCTCTGGAACTGGACCTTTCTCTGGCGGGTCCTCAGTGAAGACCACTGCCATACTGGGGACCGTGACTTGCCTGATCGTCACAGCACCATGTCCACTGGGGTCACATACCCAAACATGGAAGCCTGGAATACAGTGTGCTGCTTCCTCCGCCTGCCACAGCTCTTCTCTACCTGCGTGGCCTTCTCCCTAGTGGCCGACATGGGCATTTGGAGAGGGAACATAGGTAACTGGTCCATGTCCATCTGGGGCTTCTGTTTTGCTGTGACACTCATGATAGTCACAGTCGAGTATTTTGATTTTGAATCACGCTTTCCCTTCTTCTGGTACAACCTCCCTGTCACCTACGCCTGCTACGCCACCCTCCTCTGCCTCTCGACCTCCATTATCTACTCCACCATCTATGTCCGGTTCCTGCCTGATGGACCTCTCTGGGACCGGGCCATGGCAGCCAATGCACTCTCCTGTGTCACTTCTGTACTTTATGGCACAGATGTGGCCTTTGTGTGGAACTACTATGGGTTCGAAGAGATCACCTGCTATGTGCACACCTTGCCAGGCCTGCTGAAGGTGCTGGAGACCTTCGTGGCCGGTGTCATCTTTGCCTTCCTCAGCAACACCTCCCTGTACCTGCACCAGCCGGCCCTGGAGTGGTGCATGGCCGTGTACTCCATCTGCTTCATCCCGGCAGCACTAGCTATGCTGCTAAAACTGGGTGACTGGGAGAACATACTGCCTGTCCCCTTCCCCATTTTCCAGTTGGGGCTAATCTTGCTCTCTGTTCTCCTCTACATCAGTGCGCTGGTCCTCTGGCCGCTCTACCAATTCTATGAGGAATTCGGCGGGCAGCCGCAGTGGTCCAGTGATATCAGCTGTATCGATGACCTCATGTGCTCCTGGATCCAGCGACTGGCTGTGGCCATCCTGACAGCCATTAACCTATTGATTTATGTGGCTGACTTCGTGTACTGGGCCCGCCAGGTTTCTATAGGGACTGAGGACCAACCCAGGGACTTCTGATCCCCTCTGGTCACAGGAGGTCTCCTCACTGAGCTCTGTTGTCCTCTGACGTCCTCAATGCACGTGAACTTGGGCAAACTCTGGGAGATGGTGAGGGACAGGGAAGCCCGGCTTGCTGCAGCCCATGGGGTCGCAGAGAGTCAGACATGACTCGGCAAGTGAACAACAGCGATGTCCTCTGATGTCCTCTTCCTGGCTCCCTCTCTCCCTCCTCACAACCTTCCCCACTCATCTCTCTCTCTTTTCTATTTCCTTCCCTCCTTCTGCTCTGTCTCCTTCCTATTTTGTTGGGTTGCCCGCATTCTGTTTTGCCTCCTTTTTGCTCTCGTTTTTTCTACATTTTCTGATTTTTTTGTCCCTTTTCTGGTTGTCCTTGGTTTTCTTGTCTCCTGTGTCCTGACTACCTCTCCCCATTCTCCTTCTGATCCATCAGGATCTGAGACTCCTTCCTTCTCTGTCCACCGCCCCCTCCCACCTCCTAAGGTGCTGACTCCACAACACACAGCCCTCTGTGCAGCTGTTCATACTCTGGGCCTCTGGAGGGGCCTCGTTGCCAAAGCAAGTCTGTTCACCTGGGAGTGCCTTAGTTGGTGTGTATGTGGGGAGAGTTAGGGGGTGGGTTGGGAGAGGTTGGTGGCTGGAGGTATGTAGATAGAATTTGGCCTCCTTTCTCCCAGTGGAGAGGGGTGTACAGTGTATCTCCCCTTTAAGTCACACAAAAACCTCTGGAGGTCAGTAATTCCCAGTGGGCAGGACCCTGGATCCCTGGGTCCCATCTTGTGTTCATCCCCACCTGAAATTGGCTCCGGAATTTTTCCAGGCTTACTAGATATTCGCTGCGTAGAGGTCATCTTAACAGAAGTTGGGATACATTTTATCCCAGCTACTTTCTGGGAAAATTAAAAAGGAGCGGGTAAAAAATCACAAGGTCTTGGAGACATCCATCTGCAGTATTTGTGGGGGGCAGCGATGTGGCCCTCCTGCCTCAGTGATCAAAGCAGCAGGTCCTGCCTCTGCAGGGAGCCATATCCTGGAGTTGACAGACTAGTAAGACGTGGTCCAGTGGACTAGGATACTCTTACCAGAACTAGATGAGTCATAGCTCTTAAGTGGTTTATCAATGAAATCTTTACCTGGCCTGGGAGTGAGCATTCCTACCAACCTGGGACAAATTGGTTAAAGATGTATCTGAAAACTTGGTTGAAATTAAGGTGGAAATAGAGGGGACTGTGTAATAAAGAATGCTGTCTACCACCCAGTTCTACAAGAATCTAGGCATCAGCTACTGCAGTCACTGATCTACAATCCACCCTGAAAGGAATTGAGGGCGAAGATCAGGATAAGGCACTTTGTGCTCTGGGAAAACTGGAAGAACTGGCCCTCAAAGAGATATTTTCAGGAGAAACTTTTATGGATCTAGTTTCTTGCACCTTCTCATGCTCTTGCAGAAAAGTGCTAAAACTATTAAATAAGCTGCCTGTTCCTCAGGAAGACTGTTTATTATTCTGAGGTTGACTTGAATAAAATTTCCCATTTCTTTCTTAGACTGTTGATTAATTTTTCATTGACAAAATCAAGTATGCATTGATGTCTACCAGTCTGGGTAAAGAATCTCATATTCTTCTATTTTCCTAAATCAAACTGAACACAACACTGGGAGCTCACTTCTAAGAGGATGGAGATGCCTCTGTGCTTTAGTAAAAGAATTGTCCAGGGTGGGCTCACCTGAGGGGCTCACTGTCCAAGCCTGTGGTTCATGAGGGCGGCTGCTCCATCCCTCCTGTTGGAGGTTAAGGGTCATTTGTCACAATTCCAAGGCTGGTCCAGTCCCCTCACTGTGGAGCTCAAAAGAGAGTGTAAAAGTCCTCTGCTTAGTCCAACCCTGTTGTCATAGAGAAGGAGCAGCTGGACCCCAGGGAGGGTCAGGACTTGTTGAGAGTCACCCTGTGTGTGGCAGAGTCAGAGTCAGGACCCAAGTGTCCTGGTTCACAGGCCAGTTGTCTGTCCATGGCTCCATGTTGCTTGTTACAGGCATAGCAGCAGCATCCTCCAGGCTGGGACTCTGCCCCGTCCACCCTCATTCTGCACAAACCTGTCCTGTCCCCCCAAGGAGGGCACTCACTGCTGCTGAGTCAGTTTCCTTATGTACTAGGTGGAGGGGGGTGCCAGAGACCCCTGGTCCCTCCCAGCCCCCTCTTCCCGGGGCCCCTGGACTTGCCAGTCCTGGAGACTCAGACGTGGACATGGAAGTCGGCTCCTTCCCCTCTGTCCACCCTCTCTGCTTGTTCCCTCTTGGCTGCTGGATCCTGTTTATTGGTCACATCCTTCCTGACCACACAGACCCTCCTTCCCCATGACCTCTGCTTGGTGGGGAACACATTTCTCTTTCATAACTTGAGTTTCCTCAGTCACTTCACAGTGTTCCAACTCTTGTAAAAATACAAACTGCTTCCAGGGGACCCCGCAGTCTGAGGTGTCCCAGGCTTCCTCGTTCCTGCACATTCTTGTCTTTCCACTTCTTCAGAGTCCAGCTCAGCAGTCTGAATGCTCTCAGTCTGTTTGGAGAGCTCATGTTATGTTTAGGGAACACAACATTCATTTTGTTGAGAGTACAGAAAGACTGACCATAATCAAGGAAAGTGGAAACAGAAGCCCAGAATGAGAGAGAGGCAGACCTGGGGTCCACGGCTGGGTTCACAGTCTCATGTTCTCCTGACTCCAGTCCGGTGGCCTCCCAGGCCCGGTCTGGTCTCCCTGGGGATGAATGGCGATCTTGTGGAGAGCAGAGCCCAAGAGATCAGTTTTCTAGTTCCGATTCTGCAGCTCATCTGCCATGAGCACAGACGAGTCTTGTCACTGATCTGAGCCTCAGTTTCCCATTTATAAAATAAGCAAATTATACTAAAGGGATTGTTATTAAGCTGTTTTCCCTGAAGCTCTAAGTTTCTGGTGAGTTGATGGGGTTGTAATTAGGTTGATGGCATCATCCATCACTTTTCTCTAACCAGAGCTGTATGACATGAATTCTCTCACTCAAGATCTCATTTGATAATAAGGGTGGCTAGGTTTAAAATAACCCAAGTGCTCATCTTTAGGACAAAGATTAATAAACCATAGTGTAGCCACAATATGGAATACTATACAGCTTGGAAAAATGAGGAGTCTCTCAAAATAATAATAAGAAAATATCTCCAGGATTTATAAGGAAAAAATACTAAGATACAGAATTGTGAAGAGTATGATACATTTTAAATAATCAAAGGAGAGAAAATAAAAATAAACATGTCTGTATTTGCTTGATTTACACCAAAAAGCACATGAAGGACTCCTAGGAGTCCAGTGGAGAAGTTACCTGGTCCTGGTGGGGGAGGGGAGCTGAGGGTTGAGTGAGGAGGGATTATATGGCTCAATATATGGCTTTTTAGAACAACTTGATTTTGAAACATGGAAGAATTAACTCTTTAAGAAAACAAAATTCAAGCTTGAAAATATCCCAAGCAGAGAGGGGTCAGGGAGGGATGGTTGGCTGATGGCCTCCATGTTCCCTGCAGACTTGGTGGACAGGCTGGGGGAAGAGCTGAGAGATGCTGCACAGGCTTGTCTCCAAAGGCAGAGGAAAGGAAGGTGCTTTGGGTCCAGGGATCTGGGGAAGGGAAGCTGTGGCCCCCAAGCCCACCATCTGGGTGACCAGGGCCTCCCCCAGCACTTTAGCACACACAGTTGATGGAGAAGACCCCCCATTCGCCTGGTGTCCAAGCCTCAGGCCTTTCCCTTGCTCCCTGCCTGGCCTGGGCTCCCTGTCTCCTGGGGCAGCAGTCAGAGGCTCCCTTCTCAGCTGGCCAGAGCCTCCTCTGCACATGGTGACTTCAGCTGATGTCCCCCAGACTGTGGCCTGAGCTGCATCCAGAACAGAGCTGAGGGTACAGATATTCCCATTGTCTGGCTTTTCTTGGAAAATCATGGAGATGACTTCCTCAATCCAACTTTGAATGGAGAGGAGAGATCATTCTCTCCTGCAGCCTCAGGCACCTGGCTGTCCACCCTGGTTGGGGATGGCAGTGCTGGCTGCCAATCTATGTGGCCCTTTGTCTGTGAGGCTGGCTGTGAATGTCCTTGTAGAGAGGCTGGTGGGTGGAAAGAGAGTGATGAGCTCCATCAGCCCCCACTTAGTCTCCACACTCTGTTTTTTTCTGGCTGGTTTTCCAACAGGGACTGATCTGACTGAAATAGGGGTGCCGTTGCAGGACCTGTGGGTGGGTCACTGCAGCCAGACCAGGACACACAGTGTCCAGGACATGACTCCTGGACCCAAATGAAGGATGCCAACCTCGTTCCCACAGATCCGCAACTCCTTCAAGTCCACTACCCTTGTTTCCTAGTTTTATAAATGAGAGGAGGGATGAGGTGCTGAAGGTCAGCAGGGGGCACCCATCACTCTTCCTGCACCCTTGCCTGGAAGCTCCCCAATGTTGGGGCACCAATATCCAGATGAGAGGAATGGACCTCTGGGGTGGGGGGGGGGATGTCACCCCCATGAAATAATGTCACCCTCCAGGGAATAAATGCAACTGGAAAAGTGAGTTGGAGGCAGGGTATTAATTAAGTCCCAGGAACATCTTGGACCCACAGGATCCAGGATGTTAAGGAAATTGACACTTGTCTCCATCCCAGCTCAAGTGTTTGTTGCCGTCTCAGTGCTGGGTGGTGTCCAGCACTGGTGTCCAGCACTCTCTGAGCGCTCAGCTCAGAAAGCAAAAAGAAAGAGATAAAAGGAGGACCCGAGGGAGTAGAGAGAATATGCAGCCATGTTACTGCTAAAGATGCATGTTTCCAAAAACAAGAGAGTTTTTGTCCTGAAGAGACGAAGGCCTCTAGTCCTTGGGGAGGGGCTGAACTCCACCAGGCGTGCAGCCCTCACTGCTCTCGAATTCTCCTGGAGATGCGGTGGAGCTTCATGGCTGCCCTGGCGTCTTCCACTGAGTTATGTCACAGCACACTGTCCTGCAGATACAGGACAGAGAGGGGACAGAGGGCTGAATCCAGGCACCA